GGTGGTTGAATGCGTATAATGAGTGAGTAGTGATGGCCAGCCATATACAAATCTGTGCTTTTCTCCACTCAGGAGGCTTTGGTACCAAATAACCGACCCGGGCAATAAAAGGTACGGTTGGCCTGGGTAAGTAAGTGTCCGGGAACAAACCCCGAGTAATGCACCACTTGGCACTGAACGACGTTCACAGAATTGGAAGCGAACCTGTAATTACACCCACAAATGGATGGAAAAATCTTGATGGGTAGTATAGGAGACTCATATATAAACTTGAAGGAACATCGTAGAACGCTTGAAGGTTCGCCTACACAACCGTGTCCACATATACTGGCTTGGTGAAAGAATTCTCGCCTAGACAGTTCTTGCTCTTCCAATCTCATTTTTTGGGGAAATGAAATTTCTTGAGACTCATTACGAGTGTAATGGAAGCGAAGAGCTTCTCATTATCCCTCGTTTTTATTCCAGTTTTCCTGAAAGAAATTTCAGCAGATATCACTTGCGACTTGATGTGGCCAGCTTCAAGTTCGTTTGAAAAGTAAGGGTCTTTATCAAGTCAATGAGAAATTCAGTAATACAGTGCCGATCTCTACATATATCGCTTTTCAATACATTGAATCCTTATAATTGTCGAGCTTTGAATATATACATCGGCTTCGGCCTCTGAGTTTGACACAACCTCTACAACTCATTCCTCAAAGAGATAGAAAGTCACAAAGAGGAGAGAAGAATGAAAAAGAAGACCCTCTCTCTCATTTTGCCGTTCTATATCCTTCAGAGGAGTCTGACTTTATATGAACTATTTTATGAACTCACTTGGAGTCGATGCGATTTCGATATAGTACATAGCTACTTCGAGAGAAATCAGGCTCGACCCTTTTCGAACCGACTTCTCTTCATTAAGCAGCTTTGCAAGCGATAGAAAGGAATTCCGTTCAATCTGATTTGGTCATATTAAAGCGGATTAGGCTCGTTACGAAGAAAGGGGAGCTGGTATGAGCACTTCCATGCATTCTGCGTTAGGATATTGTTGAAATCTGTCTTCGAAACTTTTTTTAATGAGCTCATCTAGGAAGTAAGCATAATTAGACTCGAATTATCCATCAAATAAGAGAATATTTCCCTCTTTGTTTGTTTTTTGCATTGTTTCTTCATTTTTTTCAGCCGGAATGGTACTGGTCATTGTTGGAGTTTGGCGTGAAATTGAAACGGCATGCTCCTTACTTTGGACTGACTATTGTTATGCCTACGGTAAGCCGTTCAGGCGTTTTATGAGATTTAGAGATTTGAGATTTGATGGCGTTCAGAGTTTCCTGAAATGTTAGGGATTCTTTATAATGTGATGATGTAATGTCACTCTGAATTCTTCTGGATTCGTTATTTTCACTGAGATCTGATTCCACGATGCAAACGTATCCTTGGATATCCTGCAGAATCATATTTATGCAGAAGTGCACAATTGGAAATCCCATATTCCCATGAGTAATAGTCAGCAAAATAGCTGCCAAACAAATTGCATGGGAATTTGATATGTGCATATTTTGTCACTTCATAAAATTAGGTTAGCATTGTCTAAGGAAGGGCAATGGGTACACCATCAGAAGTGGCAGTGACTCCTAAATAACTCAAACGATTACTTTAACCCTAGGAGGGTTTTCTTCAGCAAAGGTGCTTTACCGGGCCATCAGCCGAGCATATACACTCAATAAAAACGTATGCAGTGGAGTACACTTTTACAAGCTTGTAATCAGAAAAGAAAGTCTTCGGGAATAAAAATATTGAGTTTTGAGGGCATGCAATGCAAAACACGGGATTTCTGATTTCATCAAGTAATTGCACCTTAGTCTGGGTGCTTTGCGAGTGGAGTGACTGTTTTTGACCTGCATTTCACATACTCTACTACTTTGTTCGCCGGTACTTGTTGAAAAGCTTGGTTCACCCCATGAAGTAGTCTTGGCTTTGAAAGGTTTCATATCGCACTTCAAATGGCGAATGTCTTCCCTTAGCACCTATTGGGAAAGGTAATCAGAAGAGGTATGGAACGTTGTGTCTTCCGCGTATCTGTAAGAGATGGAAGGGTTATAATTCAGTATAGTTGTACTGTTGTCCAGTATGAACGTTTGTAAGAGTAGGGTAACGACAATTGGGATGTAACGATGGGTAGCACAACTACGCCGTGCATGGTTTGCTCATCGAATTCCAAACGGACCACGCATGAGGTAGCATGGCCACTCAGTGCTATATCTCATCTGATGATTACCTAACTCTTACAAGCACTGCTACTGAACCAGATTTTTCTCCTCGATGTGGATTTACTCAGTAAACAAAACTAATATAAATTAGTACATGATGTTTTACAGATTATCACCTGCCTTTTGACGTTGAGCTCATTCTGGATTGATACAAGCTCGATGGCAATCGCGCTGATCATTTTCAATGTCCTTCTTCAAGGCCTATTTGGGTGGGATCTCATTCGTGAGCTCCCTCCTGGCAGTGGAAGCATTCCGAAGATTGGTATGTGGTATGATCAGATAGGGGAACTATTGCCTACCGATGTGACTTATGAGTGAGCCAAGTAAGCCAGTGAGCTATCAAAGGCCTTCCTGATTTGCTCATGAGAACTCAATGTATCGTATCTTGCACTTTCGGCTTTATACTGTAGCTTCGGCGACAATTACTCCACCCACAAGTGACTAATTTGCCGTTACAGTATCTCTCTACGGATTCAATCTCTCCATGACTACCATTGCCTTTATAATCCACGTGCTGTCACAATTCTTCGAGTCGGTTCTACCGGATGATTTAGAGCTTCCTGAAACGGTAAGGAAACTTTACAATTCTTTGCATCACCCGCATTGGCATATGAATTCTGAAGGCTGGAAGCCAAGAAAGGAATTCTGTAGCCCACGAGGGATTGGCTATGCCACATCACCCTACTCTGAGGTCCTAGGGTGGACGTGGTAAACTGCTCGGACTTTGTGATTTGTTAACTGGTTGTGAGTTCAGACTTGGGCCTTTGCTATCCTTCTAGTCGAAACCAAACTTCTGCGCTGAATTGAACGTAAGGTACCTGCTCGAGCAACGGGCGAGCAAGTCGGTTTGAAACAAGGATCCGCTCAATCGTGACTGGTTTATCCCACCCGAAGGCACTACCACCATTGTAGCCGTTCTTTTGTGGCTATGTTATTCCATTAACTGGATTCCGCATAACAAAAAAGGTCCATTCCTGAAGAATGGAGTCGTGATACGCACTTACCATGGCACTGGAGGTGTGTGAACACTACTCAGCGGTAGCATACCGAAAAAAGGCTTTCGTTACCCCTGCCTTCATAAAAAGTACTTAGCGTACAAGCTTTCTTCGATTTTCTTCAAAAAAGAGGAGCCACGCGTTCAGCTCTCCCTCTCATTGCTTTCGCATTTGATAGGGTACCGCCTAAAGATGAAAAACTTGAAATCGGGCGAACACGTCCAACTTCGAATTGCTGACTTTCAAGGAAAAAACCTATTCAGTCTGGTAGGGAAATCTGATGCCTACATCTCCATATAACTTCAAGAAATACCTGTTGTTCAGGTTACTTCGCTGCCCGAGAAATTACGAATGGGACAACTTTTCCAAGTGAAAGGACTTTCGTTCGATCCTCAGCTGTAGGTTTCTCTTTTTTCGTTGTGATTTATGAGTGTAGCTTTTCTCCGCTTCCCACATTGTGAAGCTTTGGGAAGAATGAATACGGATCCCCGCTCTGAGTACTCTTCATTTTTCATGGTATCCAACTAATTCCTTTCAGCCTTCTAAACTATACACCGGAAGAAGAAGATCCGAGTGAGTTCAATTCACCTATTTCTTCAATCGGACCTCCGAATGCTCTCGATGAAGAACAGGCTGAAGATGGTAGTAGAAGAAACACTGATGGCGAGACACTGATTCCTGTGGAAACCGGAAGTGAGTAAGAATTGAGAAGGCACTAAAGGCTTCAAACTTCTTCATCAGAATTTCTGTGGCGACAGCAAATGTCATAAACTTTATCTTGGACCTTATTATTTATTTTTACTCTTTATAATCCGCAGATGGCATCTCGGTGCTACTCAACAAATTGTGAAAAGGTAAGGAACAAAGGAATTCTATTCACGATGATTTTACTATGGAGAAAGTTATTGCAATTGATCGGGTAACTACCTCTGATGCAGAAAAAGAGTGAGAGCCTATGATTAATTCATTACCTAACCTGAACTGAACTGTGTAGCGAAAGGTCTCAATTCACAAATTTCCTCTTACTCCGTTAATTTTTACCCTTTATAAAGGAACCTTAGGGTCACTATCCTTGCCCCTCGGTCCCTCGTGGATGTGGACGATGAGACGAGAATTACGCGTAAGTATCGGGAAAAGTAGAGAATACATACTTTAGGTGGGTGGTCATCATTGAAGATCTTGCTCAGAGGATGTAAAAAATTCAGACTGTTATCGATTCATAGAATACGAGTAGTACACAAAAACAAGTGTGAGTCAGTAGGCGCCGTATCCGAGAGTGGTACAGGAGAACGGTCCTCACCCTTTCATCACCTTTCTTTTCCTCCTTTTTTTGAGTTGCTGCTACTTTTTTTTACATTCACAAAGGAGAGGAAGGAGAAGAGAAAGGAATAGACGAAAAATTGCAACGTTTTGAAGAGGAAATGATGAGATTCGTAATTTTGAGAAATATGTTTTCTTTCACTTGCTGTGGCCCTGTTGTCCCGGTTTGGGGACAGGAGCTTTTCTGGTTGGAGGCGAGCTTGCCTTTACCCCTTGTGTGGGTGATGTGTTTTGTAACAATGGCTTTGTGCAAATTTATTAAAACACAAGAACGCCCCGTATCGGCAATGCGGCGGGTATTTATACCCAGCCGATACGGGGAACAAACAATCAAAAGGTCAATGGGTAGCGAATATACTCATGGTTATCAGTGGTTTTACAATGGCACTTACAGGAAAAAGGTTA